CCTTCCTCCCCCGCGCCGGCGATGGCCACCCAGACCCGGAGGGCTCGGCAGCACCTGCGGGGCTGGAGCCTCGGTGTCCGGAACCAGCCACTGCGCTCCCTCGGACCCGCACCCTTCCCTGCTCCGGAGCCGCCACGAAACTCAGCTGTCAAGCGGGAGGGGCGGTGACGGGAGAGTCCCGACGATTGGACGGGGGACAGAAGCGGGCGGGGCGGTCACGGGGGAGCCCCGACGATTGGACGGGGGACAGAAGCGGGCGGGGCGGTCACGGGGGAGCCCCGACGATTGGACGGGGGACAGGAGCGGGCGGGGCGGTGACGGGAGAGCCCCGACGATTGGACGGGGGACAGAAGCGGGCGGGGCGGTCACGGGGGAGCCCCGACGATTGGACGGGGGACAGGAGCGGGCGGGGCGGTGACGGGAGAGCCCCGACGATTGGACGGGGGACAGAAGCGGGCGGGGCGGTCACGGGGGAGCCCCGACGATTGGACGGGGGACAGGAGCGGGCGGGGCGGTGACGGGAGAGCCCCGACGATTGGACGGGGGACAGAAGCGGGCGGGGCGGTCACGGGGGAGCCCCGACGATTGGACGGGGGACAGAAGCGGGCGGGGCGGTGACGGGAGAGCCCCGACGATTGGACGGGGGACAGAAGCGGGCGGGGCGGTCACGGGGGAGCCCCGACGATTGGACGGGGGACAGGAGCGGGCGGGGCGGTGACGGGAGAGCCCCGACGATTGGACGGGGGACAGAAGCGGGCGGGGCGGTCACGGGGGAGCCCCGACGATTGGACGGGGGACAGAAGCGGGCGGGGCGGTCACGGGGGAGCCCCGACGATTGGACGGGGGACAGAAGCGGGCGGGGCGGTCACGGGGGAGCCCCGACGATCGCACCCGGGCGAAGACCACCAGCGCCCTGGAAGACCGGCCACCTAAGGGTGGAGATGGGCTGCCTGGCTCTCGTCGGCTCTTACCCGCTCAGCCTTGCTGGGGTTGCTGCCCACACCCGAGGCGAAGTCATGCAGCTTCTGGCGAACGTCTCTGGGGAAGATGCGGCTCTTCAGGCCGTCAGGGCAGAGGGAGGCGGGCGGCGGGTTCCTGGGGACAGGAGGGTGGTTACAAACATCCCTTCTCCCGCGGACACCTCCCGTGCTGCAGAGCGCTGCGCAGCCCTGCACCTGCTCTCATCTCACTGGCCGCTCCGCCTGCCATCTCTGTGCTGCGAAGTCCCAGGGGCCCAACGAGGTCTCCCCAGGGCCTCCGGGACCACTCGACGCGATGCCAAGGCTGACAAACGGCCAAGAACAGAGGAGGCTGGATGATGAGGATACGGAGGTTGGTTATGCTTTACTGTTGTTAAACTTGAATTATTTTAAAAGAAAACAGTGACACGCAATCAAATAGCACCTGTCTATATAAGACTTGATATCCAAACACCAACTGAACAAATCCTCATGGCTGTCAAAAAGGCATCCCACTCACCCCAAATCCCAAGTGGAGCTTGGTCACCCGCTCTCCCAGCCCCCATCCGGCGCATCTTGGTGAGAATCCGCCCTATTCCAGCCACTAGGCCAAGGGCACTGGAGCCCGGCTTTCTTCCTCTCCGCCTCCTCCAATACGTCCAAGCCACCAGCAAATCCTCCAAAATCTATCTTGACACAACCCTTTCTTTGGCCACTGCCAAAGACTCCAAGAACCTCTTGCTTCTGCTCCTGCACTGACTGTCAGCTGTAACTCCAATGTCACCCCCACCTTATGCCCCTGGGGACCTCGATCCACTTGCTCAGGTCTCTCCTCCAAAGGCTGGATGCGCCTGCACTGCAGCCCCCTTCTGAACACCTTCTGTCTAGCATTCCTCACTCTGAACTGTGGAATGTACTTTGTTTCCTTGACTACTGTCTAGCGTCCACATCAAGGTCAGCTCTGAGGGAACAAAGCCCAGTGTCTATCCTCAGCACCTCCAATAGCACCCAGCACCTAGGGGCCTCTTCACAAACACTGTCTGGTGGTCCCAAGCGATTTACTGTGCTGAAATTCAATGGCACAACCCTTGGGAGCTCCGGGAATAAGCTCAAATAAAGCTCAATGGCATACCTCTTCCTGCAGCGGAACTTTTGCACGGGGGTCAGCGTGGCCACACCCAGCCTCTTCATAACCAAATGGTAGTGAATGTCATTCCAGAGCTGCACTAGCTCCTGGCTGCCTCCTGGCACCCGGCATCCCTGCGGAGAAGAGCCTGCTGAGACATGGCCACCCTCACCCACCCTGGAGCACTGCCATCTGACCAGACCTGAGCAGCAAGGACATGACCAGATGGCCAGTGCTCTGATCTCCACCAGGTCCAGTGCTCATTGATTGCTATGCCGGCCCTCCAAGCCAGGACCAACACTCAGTAAGGATTTGATAAATGGATCATTTTTTTCCTCAGATTACCATGCTATTTAGAACCTAGTAAAGTGAGAGTGGACCATCCTGGCTTGTTAATAGCACCTCTCCCCAGGCTCTTGCTGACTTGTGGGTTTTCCGCCTTGTTCAGGATGCTAGCGGCTGCTGCCCCTCTCTCTGCGCCCTGACCCCCCAGACCAGTCCTACCTCCAACAGCCGGCAGGCGGCCTGGTGCTCCTCCTGTTGGGCCAGCATACGGGCACACACCAGGGCCACGTCCTTGTTGTCCAGGAGGTACAGGCGGAGCTGGCTCTCCAGCACAGCTGTGACCAAGGGCTGCACCTGGGTGAGGTCATCCTGGAGGTCCCGGCACAGCCTGCCAGCCAGGCTCACTAGCTCCTCCAAGGGTGGGCTGGCACCTCCACTCTCCCTTAGCAACTTCAGGAAGCTCTGCATCCTGTGTTGGGTTGTACCCCTCTGCCAACAAGGTAACAGTCATGACAATGGCCAGTGCTGACCGTGGGCTGGTTGTACATCAACCCTCAGACCAACTCTCAGAGGCCCCTCCTGCCACGAGCACTTGTAAGATAGCAATAATGAGAAATTACCTGAGAAAAGGTAGGGAGACTAGACGACCATGGTATTTCCTTTTAGTCCCCCCAAATCAGTTTCGCCCCAGGCTGTGCACCAGCAGGGAGCTAGGGGCTGCCGCTCCCACCCCTGCGCCTTCCACCACCCTGTGTCCTCTAACCCTCCTGTTTCCACCTGCCCTTATACCGTGTTAGTTATGTTTTGTTTCACTCCTCTGGGCTCAGTGGGTCATCAGACTTCCCCAGCATCTGCCAGATGGATGCCGAGGCCCAGCCGCGGGGAGGTAACCTGGGCCGGGGGCTGGGCAGACGCCATTTACATGCCTATGGGGGAGCCATGGGGCCCGTAGGAGCACCGTCTGGTTTTAACTACTTTGACTTTGGGGAAGAAAAAAAATCTGAAACTTATCATTTGAAACGCACAAACATTTAAACGTTGCCCTAGTCACAAATTAAAAACCACCCCCAGCACCACGGAATGAACCCCTGACGCGCCTCCCGCCGCTCCCGCGCCTGCGGGGCTGTCCAGCGGCGGCGCCGAGAGGACGCGGCTGGGACGCCCGAGGGGACTGACCGCCGTCCCAGAGCGGGGGTCGGCGCCCAAGCAGAGGACTTGCCCGTTACACCCCGAGCCCACGCAGCTCCCCAAAGCACATAGCAAGTGGACGCGAAGGCGCTGTGAGTCTCTTTTTTATCCAAATCTGTGCACACACGCACCTGCCCTTAGCGGCACCGAGGATGCGATCGCGGCTAGAGCCACGGGCCCCTGGCGCCTGTGCGCGGGGTGCGCGGGACCCCAAGAGGACGGCTGTCCCGTGTTGAAACGCCTCCCGCCCGTGGGCGTTTAGGCAACTTGCTAGTGACCGCTTTTCAAAGACAGGACCTTTGAACCGGTCTATGGGCCGGACGCCCGCGGGCGAAGGTACCGCGCGGAGCTGCGGGACGTGGTCT